GCTCTTGCCTTGAATGCTGATAATGCTTATATATCTTCCTTTGTTGTTAAAGTTTCTTGCACAGAATAAGTGCGAAACATGCTCCTATCTTCTCCATCTTCTAACTGTGTTTCCTTTCACCTTTGACGCTTCCTTAAGGATCGAACAGATCCATTCCATCAATTTCTGACTAAAGCTAGCTCTGCTCATCATGATCCTTCCTCTCTCAGTCCAGTCATACCACATCTCTGCTCATGATTCATCTCTAGCTATGTCATAAGACTTGAATCCCATTGCGAAGAAAATCATATCTTCATCCATTGATTAGAAGAAAAGGAAAATAGGTTAGAAGAAAAAGAAGATTATGCCAGTTTGAAAGAAAGAAAGAAAGAGGAGAGGATTCCGGTGACAGAAGGCCACCAGAGGGGAGTTCTGCTCTCCTAGATTAGGAGAGAGATTTTGGGGACATGTGCCTAGGAGAACTTTTTTTGAAATTAAAGTTGAGGTAGAGCCTATTTGGAAAGATTAGCCAAACGGCTTATTGACAAGAGGCTAAAGGGACAACCAGGGACATAAAGAACATTATTTAGAGTCAAGGAAGGTAAGGGATTGGCTTGACAGACTCCGGCTGCCATGGTCTGAGAACCATTAGCTAATGTAACAGTGACGGGACTGAGAGTAAGTAATATTAGACAATAAAGATTTGTTACCAGAAATGTGGTTAGAAGCACCTGAGTCCATAACCCAAGGGCAAGTGTGGTGGACTGTGAGATACAAGCAACAGGATTAACAGGATCACCAACTTAGGCAACGGAAGCTATTGATGAAGATGTCTTCTTACTCGCTTGTTACTGAAGAAAGTCATTGTATTCTACCTCAGAAAAAGAGAACAATTGATTGGTGGGATTACCAGTGTATTCAGTTTGAGCAACATGAGCATTCTTTGGTTTACCATGTAGAGAGTAGCACACCTCACGGGTATGACCCAATTTGTTACAATGACCACATCTTGGTCGTTGTTTCCCATGTTGGCCTCCATGCCATTTTCCAGAAATGCAGTCTGAGATGCTAGGACAGAAGAATCTGCAGGTGGAACTAGATGACTAGACGACATAGGTGATGCAGCTAGTCATAACAATCGAGCAAACAGGTCATCCATAACAAGATCAGTAGAGCTAGCCAAAATTTGATCTCGCACTGAATCAAGATCAGATGGAAGTCCAGCAAGTGTAACAACTAGAAACATCTTCTGACGCTGCTATAATTGTTTTTCAACATTTCGAGTAGCGGGCATTAACTCATTAAATTCCTCCATAACCGCCTAAACCTGTCCAAGATAAGTTGACATATCCAAGTCCTGCTTTTTAAGGTTAGTCAACCGAGAAATCACATTATAAAAGAGGGATATGTCATTTGTGTATAGCCCATGAGCCTTTTCCCAAACTAAGAAGCAAGTTTGGAATGGTCGAAACAATGGCATCAACTTTGAATCAATAGATTTCCATAACAGACTACACAAATTGAGCACCAATCTTCTCCCATTCGTCCCTATCCTTTACAGTAATATCCTTGGCCTGTGTATTCAAGTGATCCTGAACACCTTGACCCTTGCACCATAATTGAACAGAGGAGGACCAAGATATTGTTTGCACTACCTGTCAAAGGTTCTGTGGTGATGCCATGGTTTGGGCTGGTGGAACTCACAGATTTAGTGCTAAACATATCGGATCCGAGAGACATGAAAAAAAGATCTATTAGTGTTCAAAAATAAAGTAAATTCTGGGGAAAAAACTGAAGAACAGATCTAGAAAACTGGAGAAGATCTGGAAAACTGGAGAATTGCTTGTTGTCTTGCCGGAAAAAGTTGCTGGAAAAAAAAAAACTACCAGAAAAGTGGCTGAGAAACACAACCTGCAAGGATTCCGATTGTAATGGTGGTACTGGTATATACACAATACCCCTGGAGAGTGTCGGAATCGCAGAACAATGGAGGTTTTGCTGGAAAAAAAAAATTCAGCAATTTTGTTCTCTTATTATATTTATTTTCTCACTAAAGAAAGCTCTTATACCCTGTGAAGATGGATCTTGGGCCTAACTCAACCTCAAAATCTAGCTTATGAGGAGAGGATTGTCCAAGTCCATATAAGGAGACTAAATTCCCATCCCTTTTCCGATGTGGGAATTCTTAACAATTATTTATATATGCAATTAAATATTTTATTTTATTGGTATTAATTGGGCCGCACTTCAAAAAGGCGAGCGCCTCGCCTTGTGACAAGGCAAACCCTTGTCGCCTTTTATCGCCTTTCGTCGTCCGAAACACTGGTTTAATATAATAACAGATTTTCTGACACCTAGGCTCAGGATGATGACTATATATAGTTTATTCTTATTTTGTAGTTTGTTATGACTCTATTTGTCTTAGAAGTAAAATTGATTCATCTTGATTAAGACTTGTGCCATTTGAGGATTTCTTGCTTATTCCATGTTTTGCATCTTAACGTAGAATTTGTCTTGTATGTTATTGAAGCGAAAAAAAAATATTGCTCTATTTAGAAGATGATAATATGCTTTCTTTGATATGTTTTGCAAATTTTAGCTTTTTCAGATATTGTTATCACTAGTTAGTCCTTTGAGCCTGTAACATTTTGTTTGATAGCCATATTTTTATCTGGATCCATTTTATTTTTTTTAACCGAGAAATCCGTCTATGACCCACCCTTTGGACCAATCACAGCCTTCTAAACTCGGTGGATAATGGGCCCGCCCCTCTACCCTTCTCCACTTAAATACCGGGCTTTGCTTTGCATGGTGTGGGGCTTGAACCTGCGACCTAAGCCACAAATCCTCCACCTTTTGCCACTCAAGCTAGGCCTTGGGGGCTATCTGGATCCATTTTGTTGAATCCCTAGTTTTTGCATCTTGCTTCCTGGAACACTATAGCATAAATTGTGACAAAATTGTTAAATCTAAACAAAGGGATGGTCAAGTGTAATCATCACCAAAGATAACTAGTAAGTGATAAAAGGCCCTTTTTTTAAAAATGTGACATGAAAAAAAAAAGATAAAGAAAAATTGCTTGAGAAAAAAACTTATTGAAATGTTGTTGAGATGATGAGAATACTAGTGAAAATAATGGATGAAGAGAGACTAAAAATAAAGAGAAAAAAAAGAATGGGAGTCATCACACAGAAGTATGGCTTGCAAAGCCATTAGTCAACTGAGGAGGTTCTAGGAACCTTTGATTGTAGTGTGTGGAAAACCATCAGAAGATTATGGCCCCAGTTCAAAGACAACATCTCACTATAGGTGTGAAATGACAGGAAAATTGATTTCTAGAATGAAATATGGATTGGGAAGAGTGCCTTAAATCACTTTTCCCAGTTCACTCTACAGGACAATGCCACAATTTCCAATGGTGGAGCCCTCAGGGTTGGAACCTCATTTTCAGGAGAGCACTTAATGATTGGGAGATTGAGAGGATCACTAACCTGTTTCAGGTCCTTCATGCCATTCCAGGCATCTCCAATGAACCTGACAAGCCTATTTGGCGACTGCATAACAAAGGAGTGTTCACAGTAAAGTTATGCTACTGGATAAACAATGCTAATCAATCACAGATTAGATTTTGACCATGGAAGTTAATTTGGAAGGTAAAATTAACTTTAAAAGTCTCAAGTTGCTTGGTTGGTGTGCAGAAAGGCATGTTTGACTCAAGAAGTGCTTCAGAAAAAAGGGAGACAAATCTTTTCAAGATGCTTCATGTGTGATCAAGATGCAGAGTTAATAGAAATCTATTCCTCCATTGCAAAGTGGCTGCAAACCTGTGGAACATGTTCCGCTGTATACTTGGTGTGTACTGGGTAACGCCAAGGACCACTAAGGACTTATTATATAGCTGGGAGGAGATAGGAAGAAGAGATTCTGGTGAAGATTGGTGGGAGTTAATCCAAGCTTGCATTAGGTGGACTCTGTGGAAATAAAGAAATGCAAGATGATTTGAGGATACGAGAAACAACATCCAAAAGATTAGAATGAATTGCTTTAGCCTTTTGTATTTTTGGTGTAAACAAAATATGGTGGGGGATATAGAACTTTTTGTTGATTTCCATGGAAATTTGTAATCTCCCATAAGTTAGTTTTGATATGCCCTGATGAGATTGTAAGTGACCTATGCTCATCATTTGTTTGATGATGAGAGCCTATTGTGAATACACAGTTACCGTTATCTCAAAATAAAATTATTTATTGAATCATTGCAATTAGAAGTAATCAACCAAACCACTTCTTTGTGAAAACACTAGTTCTTTGTGTAATAGTAGTTTATCAGAAATATTTTTCAATCATCAGTCCTTGTGGGATCCAACCTTTGATTGTTTACAATTGTTGTATTACTTGAGCAACCACGTACACTTGTGTGTGCAGGAGCAACACAGGGCCGTCAAAGTAATTTCATTGTTTAATAAAGGCCATCAAGGTATACTCATAAAGTCAGATTAACAAGTCAACTTTAAACAAATTCTCACTCTCTCTTATTGTTACCCTTTTTTTTGCTCTACCCACATTGAATTTGTCCGCTACAAAGCAAGTTATACTTGTATAATATAGTGAGATAAATGGGGGATCAAGACAAAAAATTAGTTACGAGGAACCCAACTCTCAAAAGTTCACACCGTCACCATCTATTAGCAATCTATGGAAGGTCAATGGCTTCACATGCAGCATATGGCATCTGATGAGGCAGCACGACTTCCACTCATCTCTCTCTCTCTCTCTCTCTCTCTCTCTCTCTCCCCCTCTCTCTCTCTCTCTCTCACACACACACACACACATATCAAGGTCAGTGATCAAACATATGCACACGAGAAGCCTCTGTAAGATTCTTCTGCTTTCTATTTTTAGCACATGAACTGGAACTTATTTTTGGAGTCACATTCAACACCTAGAATAATGCTAGGTCAGAATCTGTAGCATGGGAATTAAACAGGAAAAGGAAAAAACATAAGAATAGCAATACTGACGTGCTAATTGTTGAAGGCCGATAAAGTCTCAAGCTAAACCTATTTCCAACATCAATTTTGTCAACAAGAGGTCTTGCATAACCTGCACACAGATAACAATGAGAATTAACCATTTATAGGTGAATTAAGGAAGATAACAAAATATATCTCAAATTAACGGGCCAACCTTCAAGCCCAGCAGTAAACAAGACAAGATTGGCAAATTCACTGAGTTCTTTTAGAAACTCATGCAATCCAGGACGTTCAAAAACTGTGACATAATTGATCTTAGGTTTGCCTTCGCATTCCTAAAACCATCCAGAATATATGAGATAAAAAAATTCAAGGAACTTGCCAGATAATCATTCGATCATAAACAGAAGTGAAAATATAACCTTGTCTGAAGATGTGCACTCAAGCTCAAACCACTTTAATCCAGCCTCTGTAGCCTGGGTGCGTACGATATTGGGCAAACTTGATGTCTCATAGGCACAAACTAAAGTTTCATCCAAGTCAAGAACCACCTACAAGCAATATTTAAGAACTTGAGAAAAAACTCAAAAAGAACATTTTGCTAAACAAAGAAAACGACCCAGTCGTTCAACCAATCTAGTGCACTTAGTACTAAGAAATTCAATAAATAATTTTACTATCTGCTTATCTGACGGCCCACCAAGATTATATTAGCCCATCTCTAAGTCCCCCAATCTCTCTTAGTAGTAAACTTTCTGTAAAATTTGATCATAATACTCTTACAGATTCTAGAACGTCTTTGAGCTTTAACTTTATTCCATCAAATGAAGGGTATCAATTCTTCAAACCAAGAGGTAACCCTATTTTATTTTATTTTTTGATAAAGGTAAAGTAACCAAGAGGTAACCCTATTCCAAAGCGTGCATGAGGTTTCCTTCAATCTGGTGGTCCCAACAAAAATAAATCATTAGAGCTTGTGGCCTCAGTTGGCCAATTCTAAAAATATCTTCAGATGATCAAGGGAGCTCCGTTTTCAGTAGATGAGATAAGGATGAAAGATATTATCTCAATGCTTTTTTTCACATAACTCTTAGCAGTCCCCTAAAACCGGTACTAATGAATCTATAGTTCTCAAATTTTCATCGACCGGAGGGGTTTATTTGAAAAAAAGGAAGTATTTCGGGAAGAGGGCATTTAGTAGCAAAATGCAAGACTGAAAGCACCACAAAGCATGCAGACTCTTCCCCCTCTGCAATTGCAATTCGCATTGAATCTACCACTGATCAAAAAAGACCCAGCAAGCAGAACATAGGATACCAAAACAGCTGCTATGTTAACAATGTATTAACTTTTCAGGGAAATATCAGGGTTAACAGAGGTCCTACTAACAAAGAAGTAGAACATACAGGAAGAGCTACAAGACACAAAAGAAACGCCAATGAATCAACTACACCTTTGTAGCAAAATAATTGGAGTTGGCTATATGAATCCTCTATAACAACACTGGTCACAACAGAAATGCCACATCATAAATATTCAGATGATATAGCAAGCCATGGAATTAACATCAGTCACATTATTTTTCCTTTTGGATAAGTAGCATCAGTCACAATTTAAGCAGCATACAAGTCGCAGATCAGCATATAGACAGGACCATTCAGCTCCAACAACTCCTAAAGTTTAGACCTCTTCCATCAATTCTCAGGGTCTCTCTTAATTTACAGCTACTCTCGGACATGGGCAACATAAAAAAGGAACAGAAGACACAAATAGTCACCTTAGGACTTGTTCTTTTTTATTTTGGTGAAGTAGCTTCATCGATGGCATCAAGAAGATGCAAAAGTAGTACAAAAGAGAGTAAAAAAAAATTGTCTCAGAAAAAAGGAGTTGTGTTAGAAGAACAATAGGGATGAGAGAATTTTAGATTTCATTGAAGATATGGGGCTAATTGATCTTCAAATGGAAAATCCAACATTCACCTGGTACAAAGGGGACAACCATGAAGTAGCTTCCAAAATAGATAGAATCTTGTTTTCAAAAGAATGAGATGAAAGCTTCAACAACTTGAAAGTAATCCCACTTCAAAGGATTATTTCAGATCATGTACCATTAGCCCTACAAAGTGGGACTTGGAACAAAAATAAAAGGTATTTCAAGTTCGAAAATTGGTGGCTAGATACTGAGGGGTTCACAGATAGAGTCAGAGACTGGTTATTCTAAGACGATCACTTAGTTAATAAAATGATTCAAAGTTGATAAACCAACAAAATTTCTGTTCATTTTTATACACAAACACCAAAAAAAATGCTGGCAGGGATCATTCTCCAGATATCAGATAGCTTTATAAACCTTCCATGTGCTCCAGTTTTCAATGGCTCTCTTAATACTCTGAGGCCCAGCAAGCCATCTTCCCAATAGACAAAAGAAAATAATCACAATAAAGGATACAAGAACAAAAAGAAGAAACTAAAAGAAACTATACATATTTAAAACAAATAAAAGAAATCAAAAGAAACAATATAAAAACTACCGGCAATAACTAGAATCAGCATATGCTATTTCTTGTAAATCATAGCAATTACCCCTTTCATTTCACATATATATTCTGAAATATTGACATTCAATAAAGATTCTGTTCGTTCCCGTTTTTCATCAATGCCCATATTTCACACTTTTTCTGTCCTCCCATCCATCACAACTTCCCTCTTCATTCATATCGGTTATCTTCTTCTTTGATATGTTACTTCCTTCCCATTATCAAGTTGCAATTTCCATTAAATACCTCCATCCTAATACATAAGAATTTTTTAATTGTTCGTTATATACATAGCCTACATAAGCAAGTGTCACGTCTGATCTTCTATTTGCAGTTTGTCTATGTTAAAGGCTTAAAGCACACTATTATTTTTTTTTGTTTTGATGAAGTAATTAGTTCTATTTTATTTTTTTTGAAACTGTTAAGGTTGAATTCCTCAGCATTAAGGGTATGCTGGCTACCTCCAAAAAGGGATAATTACAGATTTCCTATCAAATCTATAATCTGGTCTATATCATCTATACAAAGCTGTTTACACCAAAAAAGTAGAGATACTATACAATTCCATTTAACTTTGTGGATGGAATTGGATCTATCTTCAAAACATCTTCCATTTCTTTCCAGACTGACCACCATACACATGATGGTATTAGCTTCCACCATCTCTTTTGGCTCTTACTGCCTCCCCTCCTAATCCAACAGCTCAACAGATCTGATGTATGTTCTGGCATTGTCCAGTTCATGCTTGTGATGTTGAGAAACAAGTTCCAAATTTGAGCAGTAAACAGATGGTAATTAGTTCTATTGCAGGCATCAAGTAGATGCATAATAGTTATAAAAGCTTAGTAGCAAAAGGTTAGCTCTCCTTTACATTGTTAGTTAAGAGTCAAGGAGCTAACAAAGTTCAGAAATGAATCAGGGGAATCTAGAGGGGATAAATAAACCCAACTATACAAAAACATGAGGCAATTAGCTTTTAAAGATGGGCTTAAAATACACTATTGGACTACCTACAATGACTTAGGTAGTCCAATAGTTTAAAACACACTATTGGACTACCTAAGTCATTGTAGTTTAGCGTGCTTCCACCTCACTTGGTGCTCCTGGGGATGGAGATGGTTTTCCCATCCCATATGAAGCCTCTTCAACATACATACATACACTACTTAAAGTATTAGATATAACAGATCCTGCAATATCTGAGCCTGTAGCAAAGCACAACCACAGCCATGCCGGACTGCATAACTAAAACTTTGCTAACCGATTCATATGTTGTTATCATTTGTCCTATTAATCTGATTTGCATGCCATAGTTGCACTATCGGCAGTAAACCTTTCTAAGCATGCCAACTTCCAATAGACAAAACAAAAAAATATATATAAAAATAGAATCAAAAAAGAAACCAAAAGAAAAAAACTAGGACTACAAGCAACAAGGAAAACCAAGCCACTCCTACTTCTTGTAAACCAGAGCATGTTCCCCTGTACACTCAAACCTTTTTATAGTGGCAGCATTTGTCTAAATATTTTATAGCTGATATAGTGAGGTGTTGTTATATATGTATACTAGTAGTTGACATTTACAAAAATATGCAAAATTAGAAAGATTATGAATGTCAAAAAGGCAAACATCAATTGTGATCTTTTTTCTCTCAAAAGATAAAAGGCAAACAGCAATAATCTTTCCTCGTGAAGTTATGACCAGAACTGATGAAAATTTACTGTGTGCATGACATTAATGATGATTATCACAAATATTTTGATCTTGTATATTTCTTACAAAATATTTGAGTATAACCGTTATAGAGCGGTAATTTGACAAAGAGTATACTGCTATAATGAATGTCCTTCCTCTTGTAGTTCGAATGCTGTCATAGAGAATTAAAATATAACATCAAAAAATAGTTTTGAGAAAATCAAGCCGTCATATTAAACTGTCGTTATAACGAATGACAACTATAGAGACGGTTGACTGTATATTCCGACATATCAGTACTTATACACATTGCACTCGCCCAATATTTCATCAATTTCATACTTTTCTTGTCTTTTTCATAGTTCACTGCCCTTCTTGAACTACCTTCCCTTTATTTAGTTGTAATTTCATTGGCTTTTTAAAAGTAACTTATAAGCTAAAAGTTAAAAGTCATAAGTTGGTAATACCCAACTTTTGGTTTTTAGCTTATTCTTGTACTGTTTCAGCCTAAAAAAAGTGCGTAAAAACACTTTTTGTCATTCACAAATGCCTCAAAAAATTAAAAAAAAAAAAGCTTAGAAGTCAAAAGCTACTTGAAATAAGCCAATCCAAACATCCTCTTATGCAATGGCATGTGTGATCTTCCCTTCCAGCTAGTCTGTAACAATTACATCACTAAACCACCTTTGCTATTGTCACTTAGCTTGCTTCGGACTCATATGGCTCCTCTACCGATGGAGAAGGAGTACCACATCCTATATGTTCCACTGACATACATACATGGAAGTAATGGTAATATTTTGAAGCAGAATTAGAGATCTTCTACAATACCAAAAAGGAAAACAATTCTACACATCACCACCTCCTAGGAAATAAATTGGGGAAAAGCATGCACATGCATGTCACAACAACAACATAACTAGTGTAAGACCCCACTTGAGGAGGGTAGGATGTATTTAGACCTTACCCCTATCTTTGTGGGGTAGAGAGGTTGTTTCCGATAAGACCCTCTGCTCAAAGTTTGGTTTCTTCAGTGAACAGTGAACATAATTTAATGTTAACTAGATTTGGTTGCAGTGTTAACTAGATTTGGGAATTAAAATTTAACTGTTTATTCCCATGCATTGCTCTTTCACATTGAATCATTAAGCAACTTCCCTTTCTTGTTCTTTTCATCTACTGTTTCCTTTGGTACTTATGGTTATTGCAACACTAATTAAGCAAGAAAAAAGTTACTACGAGATGACCTACGATAAAACTCCTTAGTCCTTACCAAGTGGAATACGTAACAGTAACCTATATGGCACCCAAGAGCCGATTATTAGCTAGATGTGCAAACTGAAATAGAGTTAGCAGCTCTAGAGTAGCAGTGCCAGAATATTTAGATACGTGATGAGTCTTAGTAATTTTCATTTAGTGTTGCTCAATATATTCTTTCATCTTGTTAAATAAGGTCGAGAATAAGCTTTAAAATATTTGTATAGGAAGGTTGCTTACCGTGAGTCTTTGCTCTCCGTTAGCATCTGGAACTCTTCCGGCGGCGATTTGCAAGGTAGAAACAGTAAGAGGCTGGTGCGGCGGCTCCTGAGACTCCGGCAGCTCAACAATAGGGAGCGGCTTGAACTGCGGCGTAGAAGAAAGGAAAGAGGTATTACGCAAGCCGACATAGGAAAGTACCTGACTGAGAGAAGGCGTTCCTCTAACGATCTGAACAAAGATCTGAAAGAAGAAAAGAAGCCAGTTAAGCAGCGACCTCCACGCAGGTAGAGTCCTCGGAGCGTAAACATCGGCGGCCTGAGCCAGCTCCGCCATAGGTTCACCGGTAAGGAAAGGAGATTCACAGGCTGCTAACGTGCAAATTCTGTGTTGGTAATCGTGGGTCTTCTTCAGTCGCAAATTGGAGTCTGGGCGGAGGTGTAGCTGTCAAGGTGGTGCCTCGACAAACAAGTCATAGTCATTGAATTGAAATGTAGATAGAAGAAGATAGATTAGCCAGAGAAAAAGAAACGATGCATGGGAATCCTCACGCGCCGGTGAAGAGAGTGGCCCTTGACGCTACATGTTGTAGTGCGAATTACAATTAAGTAATATAATAATGTTTTTCTTCTTAATAGTTAGCGACTAGGTAAATTGCCCCTTACGTCACATCTTATTGAAATTTGTAATGTAGTTGTTAAAAAAAATTGTTAATTCTGAAGCTCTACTTATTACTATTATTTTGATTTTTGATGTCTTTGGGTATATACTTTAGAGAACATATTTTTTGATGTCTTTGGGTATATGCTTGAGAGAACATGTTGAGTCCTCTCTAATTTACCAAAGTTTGTCTTACTTGGTACCCATTTTGAATGATTTTTATTCGACCATTCTGAATTTTACCCAACTTATTTCTTATTTTAAATTGCAATACAAACAGGTTAAACAACATGTAAATCAAACATCGTTCAAGACATCTCTAATTTTCAAAAGTTTGTCAAACTATGTCTTCATTCTTAGTGTCTTCCATTTAATCGTTATGAGAATAGATATATATATCCAATGACTTATTCTTATTCTAACTAGCAACATTAACATGTTAATCAACATGTAGACTAAGTTTTTAAACTCTAAGTTTGTCTTACCACTGGTTCTCTATCAAGAATCATATGATAATTTTCAATCGATTTTGTTTTTGGTCTATTTTATGTCTTGATCGATCTAGCCACAATTGATTTAATTATCATTAGAAACATTAGCTCATAAGAGTACATACTCATCATAGTTTCCTTGTTAAAAGTAGATGTAGTCTCTCTTGAACGGCAAATGAATAGTTCCATATTATATTCAACATGTACTTTATAATATGGAAACTAAATAATTGTTGTGTTGTTAGATAGAATCTATAGTAAGTTCACACAATTTCCAACAAGAATGGTCAGCCTAATAGTTATTCTCACAGTGTTATATTAATTTTTATAGATACGTCACATTATAAGCTAACCCATTTACTTTGTAAAAGAGAATTTCTTTTTAATTCTGCATTTTCTTTAAGTATCAACTTTGTTATCTTGAATTAACGACAATACTATTATTGAATTTCCGGTTTAAACATTATCATACTACTATTGCTAGACTTGGGGCAATCAAACTCCATGTTAGGCTACCAAAATTTTTATTCATTAACGCATTTAAACATTAGAGTAAATCGAGTTAATTACAATTTCATTCCTCACAATTGTCTGCACATCCTAACAACTTGTATTTTTCATCTAATTCTTTGTAGCGGGCCATTACTTAACATACAATATTGTTGATCCAACAGGAACATAGTCAACATTAGCATATAGTTGATTAATACGTTCAAGTATTCCACGCGTTTCTTCCAAGATTAAATCCACACCACTATTTCCTTGGCCTTTTGTTTATATGTTGTTATCTTGCGAGAAAAGACATAAAGTGACACTTGAAGTTGTCCCAAAATTTTAAAAAGACACTTTAACTATCTGGGGATTCTATTACCCTAAATAATTTTGAATTGATATTATTACATCATTTTTCGATCAAGCCCAGATCTTTTGAAGCAAGTGTTATTACACATCAATCATTACATGACACTTGTTAATTTAATTAAAAATATAATATTTTTTCCATTTTAAGTTTTTTCATTATTTCTCTCTCTTACTTTTTGACTTATTTTAATTTTGATTTCATCTTAAATTTCACTTCATCTTCCACCCCTCGTCAAGTTGAACCCCTTCCCCCTTTTTTTTCTTTTCTTTTTCTTCTTCTTCTCCAGTCAAATTCCTTTCTTTCAATGATTTTTTTTTAAAAAAAAACACATACAATTTTCTAGACTTTATTGAATTATTGATAACAAAATTAATTATTTTTCTAAGAAAATATAAAATTTTGAAGATATCATCAATTAATTTATCTCTTTTTCATATAGCTTCAAAATTAGAAATGATAATTTTAAAAGAATCAGTGAATTTCTCGAAAATTGAAAGAACTTGATTGAAATCAGATAAAAAAAACTATAGGATACCTTTTAATCATCTTGAAATCTAATGGGTTTATCAAATTGTTCGAAATGTAAGAAAATATTTAGATAAAGTTTTAAAATTGAAGAGAGTAAAACTAATAGTAGTAAAAAAAAAGAAAAGGAAGGTCAAGTTGTGGTAAAAATGGTGACATTGAAAGTGAAAAGCTTCAATGGAGATGACAATGAATTTTTGAAGAAGAAAGAGAAAAAATAATAAGGAAAAAAAGTTAAATTAATAAGAAAAAATAAGAAAATATATTTTATAATAAAATAAAATTATATTAATTATTTTAGGTTGTTCACTCTCTTTGAGATGATGCATACACTCTCTATGTCAGGTGGACAAAAATGATGTAATAATATCAATTCAAGATTGTTTAATGGGGTAATATGACGTCCACATAGTTAAAATGTCTTTTTGAAAATTCGGGACAAGTTCAGATATCACGTTAGGTCTTTTCTCTTTTATCTTGCACCCAATTTGAAAGATACAGTCTGTCCCGACATAGTGCTTTTTCTTGTCTCACACTTTGTTCTTGACACTCCAGTACACTGTTGAAATGAATATGGCACATAGTTAGCACGACAGAGTTTATTGGCTTTCGACATGTCACTAAATAATGTGCCTTATATAGAAAGTTATTAGAACATGTAACTCTATCTAAAAAGGTCCACATTTATGCAGACCATATATAGCAAGGTTACCTATTGTGCGATAGAGATGACACATCCAATAGTGAGGTAGAAAAAGAAACCACACTGATTTGTGGTACGAGAACTACTAGCAAGATGCATATTTTATACTGTTCTTTATCAACTCGAACCAACGGACCACATCAATCTTCACTATCATAGTTGGCATTATCAGGACTATAATATCTACTACCAATATCAATATCAAGCTTCACAAGTTGATTTTCTATTTCTTAGGCATTCACAGAAGTGTTGGAGTAGGTATTGGTGCCTCTGCCCGGTGCTCTGACCATCTTCAAGCCTCATTATGAAGTAAAAGATTTTGTTTCCTCATAAGCAAACTTCACTTCATTGTACTGAAGTAGTAGTGATCACGCCACCTTAATTCATTTGAATCCATCGATCCTCACAAGTACCATCAATTGGAAAACGTTAGTTCTTACTCCTATGTAGAAGGTTTGGTTGTCTACGAAGTGATTAATAACCATCGGCTCAGCTTTGTTGTGTTTAAAGCATGTAATGAGGGGACACTAAATCAAGAGCATGATATACCATTATAACTCGAGTTGTACCATAATACATATAAAATATATAGGTGGTGAGTTGTTCGCACTCAAGTCACATTGCCAAAACGATGTGAATCTAAAGGGTGCTTAGGGGGGGGGGGGGAGGCTAATTGGAAGTACAGGGGAATAAAGGTAAACATGAGATAACACTCTATTTGTAAACAAAGCATTAGTTCCATAATCGTTATTCATTATCTGATAGATCTAGTTGCGTTCATGTATAAATGAAGGCTCTTGGTTGCTTTTTGGTTTCTATTGGATTCACAGTTTTGACATGTAAGTGTGTGCCCATTCGAGGGGCATTGGAGGTAGTTTTATCGAGTCACAAAAGAAAGACAAGATTAATTGTTGCCAATAACGAAGAAGTAGAAGGTATAATGTCACGCCTCAAGCTTACTGTCATGATCCAATCCATCGGGTTGTGCGGGCACCTACTCTAACACCTAGATAGGAGAACCTTTACATCCAATTAAAATATGAAATGCAGAAATAAACAACTTTTCAATATATTAACTCATTTAGTTATGAAAACCATTTGTCAAACTTGATGAAATACACTGTCTTGGAAAAATACATAAATCCCTCCCAGGTACAAGAGATTCTAAGAATACGCAATATTTAAATTAACAAGACACAACTCCCACCATAACAAAGAGAGGTAGAAGTTGTCGAAGATCATCTTAGTCTTCACCTAAGAAACATCATTAATCCTGCAACCAGACTATGTCAAGTGGCATATAAAGAGTAGTATTAATACAAACAACATGTACTGATAGGCATCATCGGTCGACCTGAATCCACCACATAACACTGCGAAAAAACGATGGACAAAAAAGTGACGGCGTCGCTCCAAAAAGCGACGTCATGCCACGCTGTCCGTCGCTTTTTAATAAAAATAATTATTTATAAAATTATTTTACAAAAAGTGACGGACGACATCTCTTAGTCCATCGCTTTTTTTTGCGTAATTTTGAGCCAAATATATATATATGATATTAATAATCATTTATTTAATATGTATAGCGACGCCGTCCGTCACTTTTATTAAAAATAATTAAATATAAATTAAAAAGTTAACCACGCTGTCCGTCGCTTTTAATATATTTTATTTTATTAATTATTATTTTATTATAGCGACAGACGGCATCTTTAAGTCCGTCGCTTCTTGGTCAATAATATATGGTCAACACTTAAATAAGCGACGGACAATGTCGTTTAGTTCATCGCTTTTTGGTCAAAATGTAGATCAAACATTTTTAAAAAATCGACGGACAAAGAGACGATGTCCGTCGCTTTTCATTTAATTATGTTACAGCAGTGACGGGTTTTCCCCCAAATTTCCCATTCTCTTTCTCTCTTTTCTCTCCCTTCTCGCCCCGTCGCCGGACCACCAATTGTCGCCACCACCATCGTCCGTTGCCGGCGCCGGCCAACCCCAACTGCCACCCCGCCCAAAAGAATTCTCCAACTGCCCCTCCTTCTTGTTATAAAGTTAGGGTTTAATTTTTTTTTTTTTTTTTTTGAATTCTAGTAATTATATTTGATTTCGTAGTTTGTATATTGTTTTAGTTTGTTGAATTGTGTTATTGAATTGTTAATTGTACATTTGATTATTGTTAGTTAGGGAGAGAATTGAGGATTTAGAAGTTAGAAGTTAGATTAGTTTAACATTGATAGTTGAAATTTTGGTTAATTGAATTATATTCTTGAACTTAATTAGAAATTCTTGAACTTGGAAATTCTAAAAATTAGATATGAACTTGAATATATATATATATATATAAACTAATTTTTGGATTAGAAGTGT